AGCAACTCGAGGCAATACAGAACTTTCACACCTGAGACCAGAAATGGCTGGTGACCTGTGGAAGATGACCAAGCTCTGTCACAGACCTGGCGGGCTCAGAAAAAGTGCTCTGTCCAGGGTGATGGGGAAATGGACTGATACTAGGAAGAGGTATGAGGTCACTAAGGGAGCCAGGCTGAGGCAGGGTGTGACTCAGGAAGGAGCAGGAGTCAGTGCCTGGACTGTGTATCCATCTTTATATATTCAATGCTAACTATGAAGTGTGTAGTTAATAAAACGTTTTTGAACTAAATAGAAGATGGTACCTGGCATGGAGATACTCATGGTCCAGTGAGAAGAAAGACGGGAGGATAACATGCAAACATGCAAAGCAAGCTGATGAATCTAAAAGCAGCCTAAGAGCCAACCAAGGCCAAGTGCACTGGTGATGCTGTTTCCCTCCCCTCCCCCACAGTTCCTGCTTTGTCATGTATTGAGAAACCAGAACTTGTGAAAGTCTCCTTCCCAATTCAAGGAAGAGTCAATAACTCATCTTCTCACATCAGGGAAGATGATATGGGAAGATGAGTTATTATTTCAACTTATCTTACTGTATAAATTGTGATAAATTATTTTTGTTATTCTATAAATTGTGATTTTTATAAATTGTGATAAATTTCATATAACACAAAATTTACCATTTCAGTTTAAAGTGTGCAATGTAGAGATTTTTAGCATATTTACAATGTTATGCAATCATCACCACTAATTTCAGAACATTTCCATCACTCTAAAAAGAAATTACTTATTTCCCAATTACTTCCTCCCCATCATCCACTGGCAACTACTATACTACTTCATGTTTTCATGGATTTGTTTGTTCTAGACACTTAATATTTGGCCTTATGTGTTTGGCTTCTTTCATTTACTAGAATGCTTTTGAAGTTCATCCAAGTTGTAGTATGTTTTAGTGCTTCATTCATTTTTATGACTGGATAATCCATTGTATGGATATTCCACATTTTGTATACCCATTCATTGATTGGTAGACAGTTGGGATTTTTTATTCTATGTGTTTGATATTATGAGTAATTCTGCCATGGCATGTGTCTGTTAGTGTTACATGGATATATGTTTTTATTTCTTTTGGATATATATTTAGGTGTGGTATTGCTTAGTCATATGGTAACCTTGTGTTTAGATTTTCAGGAAGTGACAAAATTTTCCACAGTGGCTACAATATTTTACATTCCTCTCAGCAATGAATGAGGACTCCAATTTCTCCACATCCTCAGCAATACTTGTTGTATTTCTTTTTTCTTTTTAATTATAGCCATCCTAGTGGAGTATACTGATACCACATTATGGTGTTCATTTGCATTTCCCTGATGATTAATAATGTTAACCATTTTTAGGTGCATTTTAGCCATTGGTATACTTTCTTAGATAAATTTCTACTCAAGTCTAAGTCTGTTGTATGTATATTAATTAGATCATTATTTTATTGTTGAGTTGTAAGTGTTCATCATAGATTCTGGATTCTAGACCCTTATGAGATATATGATTTGCAAATATATTTATTTCCTTCCATCTGTGGGTTATCTTTTTTACTTTCTTGATACTGTCCTTTGATGCACAAAGTTTTTTATTTTGTTAAAGTATAATTTATACATTTTTTTTTTCTTTTGTTGTTTGTACTTTTGGTGTCATATTTAAGAAACCATAACATAATCCAAGGTCATAAAGATTCATATCTATGTCTCCTTCTAAGAATAGTATGACTTCAGTTCTTATATTTAAGTCTTTGATCCATTTTCAGGTTTTTGTATATGGTGTGAGTTAAAGGTTCAAATTTATTCTTTGGTTTGTGGATGTCAAGTTGTTCCAGTACCATTTGTTGAAAAGGCTATTCTTTCCCCATTTTGTGATCTCATTTACCTGGTTGAAAACCAATTAACAAAAACAAACAAACAAACAAACAAAAACAACCATGGATATTTAGGTTTGTTTCCGGATTCTCAGTTCTATTCTGTTTATCTATATGTCTGTATTTGTGCTAGTACCACAAGGTTTGATTAATGTAGCTTTGTATTATGCGTTAATATTAAAAGTGTGAGTCCTTCACACTTTACAAAATAACTTTGTTATTTTTTTTTTATAGACTTTGGTTATTCAGGGTTCCTTGCACTTCCATATGAATTTTAGGACCAGCCAGTGCATTTATGCAAAAACAAAAACAAAGAAAAGCAGTTATAGTTTTGATAGTTGTGCTAAATCTATAGATTAATTGAGGACTAATGTCATTTTAACAATATTCTCACTTTGGGAGGCCGAGGCGGGTGGATCACGAGGTCAAGAGATCGAGACCATCCTGGTCAACATGGTGAAATGCCGTCTCTACTAAAAACTACAAAAAATTAGCTGGGCATGGTGGCGCGTGCCTGTAATCCCAGCTACTCAGGAGGCTGAGGCAGGAGAATTGCCTGAACCCAGGAGGCGGAGGTTGCGGTGAGCCGAGATCGCGCCATTGCACTCCAGCCTGGGTAACAAGAGCAAAACTCCGTCTCAAAAAAAAAAAAAAAAAAAAAAAAAACCAAAAAAAAAAAAAAAAAAAAAAAAAAAAAAAAAAACAATATTCTCTAGTTTTCCAGTTCACAAACATGAGATGGGTTCTTATTTATTTAGGTCATCTTTGACTTCTTTCAAAAATGTGTTGTAGTTTTCAGTGCATAAGTCTTGTACTTTCTTGGTTAAATTTATTTCCAAGTGTTTTACTCTTTGATGCTGTTGTAAACAAAATTATTTTCTTAATTTTATTTTTGTATTGTCCATTGCTGATATATAGAAGTAGAACTGATTTTTGTTTATTAATCTTGTATCCTACAACTTTCCTAAACTTGTTTATTAGCTCTAATAGTATTTTTAAATAGATTCTTCAGGATTTTCTCTGTATAAAATCCTGTCTTCTGCCAATGGAGATAGTTTTGCTTCTCATTTCAATCTGGGTGCTTTTTCCTTTTTTTCAGCTAACTGCTTTGACTAGAACTTCCAGTATAATATTGAATAGAAGTAGAAAGAGCAGACATCCTTATCCTATTTCTTATAAACAAAACGTCCAGTCTTTCAGTGTTAAGTATGTCATTAGTTGAGGTTTTATTTAAATAGAAACTCTTTATCAGGTTGTGGAAGTTCCCTCCTGTTTTTAGTTTATTGTGTGCTTTCAACATGAAAGGCGATGAATCTTGTCCGATTCTTTTTCTGTATCTATTAATATGATGTTGTGGCTTTCTCTCCCTTTATTCTATAAATATAATATATTACATCAATTGATTTTTAACCAACCTTGCATTCCTAGGATAAACTCAAGTTGGTAATGATGTATAATTCTTTAAATAGGCTGCCGGATTTGGTTGGCTAGTATTTTGTTGGGGATTTTAGCACTAGTGTTTACAAGGAATATTGATCTATAATTTTCTTCTGTTGTGATGTCTTTGTCTGACTTTGACATCAAGGTAATACTGGCCTCAGAATAAATTGAGAAGCATTTCCTCCTTTTCTATATTTTTGTAAGGGTTGAGAAGAATTGATGTTGTATGTTTTTCAATGTTTGGTAAATTTTACCATAAAGCCACATGGTCCTCAACTTTTTGATTTTAGAAATGTTTGTTGGATTGTTGGTTGGTTTTAATTATTGACTCAATATATTTACTTGTTATAGGTCTCTTCAGATTTTATATTTCTTCTTCAGTCAGTTTTGATGGTTTGTGAGTTTCTATAAATTTGTTTTATCCAGGTTATCTAATTTGTTGGTATATAACTGTTAATAATACTCTCTTTTAATTCTTTTTTATTTCTGTAAGGTTGGTCATGACATTCCCACTTTCAATTATTATTTTGGTCATTTGAGTCTTCTCTTTTTTCTTGGCTAGTCCAGCTAAAAGTATGCCAATTTTGTTGACCTTTTCAAAGAACCAACTTTTGGTGTCATTGATCAGGGTTTATTTTTGAAGGGAGGTTTTTACTTTGTAATATCTGCTTGCAATTCGAGGGAGATTATACTGGTTTCTGCAGTCACAGATGTATGGTTCTCTAAGGTGCAGTGTTTAAAAAGTGGTATCTCTGTATTTGATGAATGGAGTAATACATATATTGACTTACCCAGAAACTTCTCCCGCTTTTGGTTAAATGATGTTGGCTATATTCTGACAAATGAAGCCTTGAGCAGGTAATAAGGAGAACTCATTGTTAAGGACACTGAAATGTGTTACAGTCATTTTAGTCCTTATATTTTCTGCTAAAAACAAGTTAAAACACATAAATCTCCAAATGTAAACAATCCCTTTATGTTGTCATATTTTCTCAAATTCTTCCTCAGTATTTTATTCTCCATGTATGGCAACCCCCTACCTTTTTTTTTTTTTTTTTTTTTTACAGAAGACCCATTTCATCTTAGCCCACAAACCTGTAGAAGTCTCCCTTTGGGAGGTAAAACCAGAAAAGAAATCCTGACATCCTGATTTACAGCTACCTTGCTTTCTCTTTTCCAGAACTGAAACTTTACACAGCCTGCTCCTCTGCCTCATGGCCTGATCTCTATCTAGCAAATTCTTACTCATCTTCTTTCATCTTTCGTAATAGAGAAGGGTCAAGAATGCTGGACTTGTTTTTGCCAGAAGAATTGTTATGAAGAGCATAAAGCAGGTGGACCTTGATCTGCTAATTACAGAAAAGCAAAGACATGGTCTTGTGCATGAGGCATGTCAGTCATGCGTGAAGGATGGTCTGGGCAAAGGGTCAGTGACAGGAGAAGCTGGATTGAGAACAAGACATCACAGGATAGCTAAGATCTGAATGTAAAGTCTAAAATTAGCTTCATCTCCCTGCCAGATATAGATGCATAGGTGCATGAACATGTGGACACGTACAAGGACACATACAGACCTACAAAGGTCTTCCTTTCATACAAAAACATATGAGTACCTGTGATCTGAAACCTCTTTCTTTTACATTTGTCTTCAAAGGAAATGGAAACGAAAGCAGAATGGAAGGACATGAGGCCCTCATCCTTGGAGATCCTATGGAGTCTCCACAGACATTCCTCGAAGAAATCAGGTATGGCTGATGCTAATACTGAGCCTGGTGTTTAGCAAAAGTGAATCCTACATTTCGTGAGTTGGATTAGGTGTGTGCGTTAGATTGTCTACATAGACAACCAGCAGCAATTCCTCCCATTCCTGTACACTCGTGCCACTACTTCTATCAAGAAAAGGTGTCTTCTTCCCTTGAATCAAAGCTGTTGCTGTGTTCTGTGTTTTGACCAACAGAGTGCAATAGAGGTGATACTGTGTCTTGGGAAGCCTGGAAGTTTCCACATTTGCCTTTTAGAATCCAAGTCTTCTTGAAAGAAGCTTGAGACAGACTACTAAAACAAAATGAGAAACAATGTGAAAAGAAACAGTTCATTTGCTTATTTTTATAAGGGCTTAGCTGGCTTGACTTCTTAAAAACATGGCTTTCAATTTGAAATAAAAGTAAAATAGTTGTGTTAGTTAAGTGCTAGATAGGGGCGCAATTGCACACTGCCCTGTGAAGTAATGTCTGCATAGCCTACACACAGCTTCTAGAAATAGGCTTTCAAGACTTGGTTAGAGATGCCTTCAAATGTGTATTTGTTTTCAGGATGATGAACGTGATGTTTCTTAGGAAAGCAAAAAGTCAGGACTTGGGTCACATGTTCATCTCTTCTCGTCTTGAATACTTACTTGTATTGAGAACTCATCAACTTCCGAGGCAGAAGTTCTGTGTAGAACATGGTATATAGAACTATGTAGAACTACTCAAATGGGGAGTGAAGTTCCAACAGAATTCCAGCAGAGCCACAAAATCAGTCCGTGTCTCATGCATATTCCATTCTCCATTCACACTAATCATTCCAAGGGAGAACTAAGGTACTAGGCAAAACTCATTAACTTTCTCAGGTCTCCTGGGTAAATGTCAACTGACTGTGGAAATTGGACCCTAGTGAAAGAGAGAATGGGGCTCTCCAGAGCCTGACTCATTCCAGCTAAGAAGGATGGGAATGTTGAGGAGGATCCAGGCTCATTGACTTATTTATCCAGGTTTATTCCATTTCATATTCATCCATTTGCTCATTGCATAAACATATATCTGTTATTGATCAGGTGGAGGCATTGGGAAATGTCTTTAAATACATTAAGGCTCATCTTCAAAAACCTCTACAGAGTATTTTCATCCCCTTAACAGTCAGATTCAGAGAATAACTTTCCAATAGTCACCCCTTTCGCCATGGCCAGAGCCAAAAATATTGCAAGGTCTTTATATTTCAAAGATCATGTTGACTGTATTATTGTGTTACTGAAACTTACAAGAAATTGAAACATCTAGTTTCACCTGTATTATAATTTGCTTAGTTTTTAAAAATTTACTCACTCTTTATAAATAAATTATTTTAAGAAACTGCCTAGTTAGCAAGAGAAAAATCATGATTGTTTAAATATTGTAGCAATATTACTGACCACAAATGGAAAGGAACAATTAAAATAAAGGTTAATTGTTGGGTTTTGGTTAGATAAGAGGCATTTTCAAGGGCTTGAGCCTAAAGTTTGCTCTCCCTGTTAAAAGGAAAACTTGCAAGTGGAACCCAGAGGTCTTAGAAACATACTGACACACAACTGAGATGCTTTTCTCCCATTATTTAAACGAGAAAGAATAAAAGAGAATTCAAAGGACAATGAGTTCTGAACAGGCATTAGAGACCTTTTTTTGGTGCACCATCTAAAAGCACCCCTGTATCATTGTCAGGCAACTGCATCTGTGTATGGTGTTTCTTCTCCTATGAGTTATTTGAAAGGTCTTGAAGAAACAGACAAAATCCAGACAAATGCCATGCAGTATGAAAAGTATAATGTCATCATGATCTCCAAACCTTTTTGACCATGAACCCTTGTAATAAATTTTTGAACCTATACTCTCTACATACATTTATAGTACCACTTTTTAAAGTAATATATGTGCAATGGCATGCTAGTATTTTATGCATCTTGTAAAGCATACAAAACTATAAATTTTTTAAAGTATATACATTTTTCTCTGAATTACTCAAAAGAAGGTCCTGAGTTATCCCATTTGGGAGACTATGGGTTAAGGTGGAAACTGCAGGAAGCACAAAAAGAAGGCACCCAGCTCACCCAAGAGGATGAAATGGAGCTTCAGACAAGACTCTCTGGAGCAGGGTTCACATGAAATGATTCTGGCATCAGCAAGGTAGAGAATTCAGAACAGAAGGGGCCAACCCAAGTGGGTATCCATACACATTACACAGGCTGTAAATGAGGGAATGGAGAAATGAAATGGGAGAAAGTGGGGAGGAAAGAAAGCAGAATCTGCTCCTGAAGAGCTTTTCAGACTAAGCTGAGCCAAGGAGCAATGGGGAGCCACTGAAGCGTTTCAGCACGGAGCAATCCAAACTCCAGAATAGCCTTCCTCCATTCTCACAAATGCACACATGGGTGTACAAAGCCACCCTCACCCTCACACAAACAAGGAGAACTGCCTGCCCACCAAATGATTCACTTCACAGCAGTCATTTGTGCAGTCATTCGACACATATTTATTAAATGCCTACTGTGTGCCATTTGTAATGGGTAGTCAGAAGCAAACAAAACATCCTAGAGGGGGTGATAGATAAAAAGCAAGTATAAAATCAAATTCATTCATAATCAAATTGCAGAAAGAAATAATGTGGCTATGAGAGAATTGGAATAGCAATTGGTAGTTGAGAAAGCAGTATCCTGAGGTAGGCTTGTCAAGGAAGGTCTCTGGGTAGGAGGCAGACAAGCCAAGATGTGAGTGAATTAAAATAACCAGTCTGTGCAGGCGTTACGGAGGAGTTGTCCAGGCTCTAGGAATGTTTTAAATGAAGAGACTGTGTGAGTATACAAAATCTTTGCATAGTGGAGGAAACCCACAAAGAAGCCTGGAAAGCTGAATTAGAGTGAGGGAGGATGAGAACACAGATGGTATTTTTTTTTAAGAGCAGAGACTTGATGCTGAGGAATCAATGGGAAGAAAATGAAGGTGTTTGACAGGGAGGAGTGAGTCTCACATTACGTTTTGACTTCTTAAAAATTTTTTAAAGAGATGGGGTCTTGCTGTGTGGCCCAGACTAATCTTGAACTTCTGGGCTCAAGGGATTCTCCTGCGTTAACCTCCCTAGCAGCTGGGACAACATGTGTGCACCAACACTGTGCCCAGCTCACATTAAATTTTGAATAGATACATCTGGCTGCTCGGATGCCTGCTGTGTTTGTCCTCAGTCTCCTTCAGGGGAGCTTGCTTGGCCAAGGGTGGAAGTGATAAGGAGACAAGTAGACATTTGAGTAAAATATCTACAGAACCTGATGACTGTAAGGGTGGGAAGAGTAGAATTTGGGAAAAGATGCAGAACCCAAGCACATGATGTCCAGAGAGCCCAACTGCATAAAACAGGGAGAGCTTCAGCCTCCAGACAGCATGGGGGCAGGACTGTCTCATGTCACAGCAACAGTGTGCCTCACTGCTTCTGGAAGGAGAGAAATCTCTTGGAGGATTTGGGGTGTCCTCATGTCCAAACTCAAAGGTTGGCTGCTTACATTTTTCTTTGCCTCCAAAAACTTATGCATGCTTGATGCTGCTTTTCAAAACAACATTGAACTATTAAAAATTCTAATGAAATCTGGAAATGTGGTATTGATCAGGGGTGTTTTCTTTCTTCATCACTGTGCTCTGGAGTGACTCAGAGAGCTCAATGAAGGCACGAATTGTCTTTTCCATCAACATCATTGCCCATAAGGAAGCCACATCTGCAGCACCACTCACAAAGCAGTTTGGGGGACCTCCTGAGAAAGGGGTAGGGTGAACTCCGATTGATTACTCAGGACAGACCACCCTTTGGTAGGAACTGTCCTCAGAAAGCTGATCTTCAGCCTGATCTAGCCCCAGTATTTGATTTTTCCTTTGTTTTCTTCTTCTTGCTTCTTCCATTGATCCTAAGTGAATAGCAGTGCTTTGAGCTCTCTCAGAAAAAAAAGGAACTGGCATGTATTAAGCAAAAAAGTACTAGGTACAACTAAGTCCCCAGGTTAGTGGCTTTACATATCTTACACAGCAAAGCTTCCATGTGGGAAGTATTACCCCTGTGTTACCAACAGGAAAAAAGTTTGGAGATATCAAGAGAGTATCCAAGGGTGTCATGGCTAACAAGCGGTAAGGCCAACAAGACCATGGATAATAAAATCAATAGTGTACATTTTGACCACTTTGCCATGTGCTAAACAACGGTCTATGTGGTTCACACACACTGACCTAAATAATCCTCACCAAGTCCTCAGGAGAAGGCAGTAAGGAGAAAGGACCTATGGCACCCCTATGAGGAAAGTGGTCCTATTATCCCCATAGCCTGAGAACACCAAGGTAATAAGAGCTGGGATTTGATCTCAGCCATTCTGGGTGCACCCTCTGCCCTAGATTTGCTCAAATTTGTACCCTTTTGATTGTACAACTTCGTACACAGAATCACTTAGAAGACAGTAATTCTACACCCTTTATGAGGACCTTTGGTGGGAATCAGGAATGAGAGATAATTAAAGAAACGCTTTCTATAATGAATGTCACATGGTCCCAACTGCCTGGGTTTGCATGTGTTTGCATATGTCATCCATATGTATACGTTTCAAGGGACAGATAGCATGAAGTCCTGGAGGCTTTTCATGTTCTTATGTGTGAACTAGAACACATGGTTGAAGGTTTCTCTCCTCGGTTCCCTCACTGTTAAAATGAGGCTAATTTCTTCTGCATGAGCTATATCCATGGAAGTGTTTTATAACATCTAGCACAGAGAGGCATTCAGCAGATGTCAGCACCTTTCCCACTTCTAAGGAATTAGTGTGTGAAGAAAAGAAAGGTGGAAGAGAAAGAAATGGACACATAGAGGTTTTCTTTATGTTCAAAACAAAAACACGTGCTGAAGACACAATTCCTAAAGGGGATTTCAAAATGGAGATATAAGAGAACCCAGAGGAATCGGGCAACGTGTGTGATAAGAACAAGAAGAA